CTCTTTCAATATTTTTAATATAATTATTATAAAAATTAAAAAAAAAAGTATCATATATGTATGTACAAACTTCTCTCTTTATTATCCAAATAATTTTATTTTTGATGCTAAAAAATATTATTATTTTAATAAAAATATTATAATATTAATTAATTGAGTTTAACAATTGAGTTTACAATATTATGAACGTAATGGTATACATTTTTATAATATTTTTTAAAATTCATACTATTTTGTAAAGAACGCATTAACTTAAAAAAATAGTTACATGTAATATTTAGATATTATTTTTAAACTATTTTATTTATTGGTAAAGATAAGAAAAATTACAAAGATGGTTGCAGTGAGGATTGAACCTAGGTCCTCATGCTTCTAACTACCCCAACCCCTCTCCACCCAAACTTTTTTATTTAATAATTAATAAGATCAGTAAATTGATTAAAAATTAATAAGATTTGATTGATTTTCAAAAAATATGAATGAAAAATCTATCATGTGGACTTTTATCAATATTATACTTGTTTTACATTTCAAACTGTTTTAAATTTAATTCATAATTAATATCAATGATTTGGTAGCTCAATTTAAAATTGTTGATTTTAAATTTATTTTTTTTAATGTAGTTCAATTTAGTTTATAGTTAATAATAGTTTAATTTAGTTGATATTATAGTTTAGTTCAAACTCCTAGAACTATAGTACACTAAACTAGATAATAGTTTAGTTTAGTTTAATCAATATTTATTTTAGTTCAATTTAATTTTGTAAACTATTTATTATAGTTTAGTTTAGTTTTCTTTTAATTTAGTTCAATTTAGCAATTTGGACACCCCTCCCGGAAGCACTCCATAAAAAATGTCCAATAAGCATATAATGTAGAAGACCAAGCGCAAAACTGTTTATAGTGTGCAAAAGTTAACAAACACCTATTGAGGTGGCAAAGCAATTTGACTTAGTCGGCAGTAATTAGTCCTAATATAATAAACAACACATCCAGCATGACACTCCAAATATCAACATGTACGACAATGTTTCAAACAAGCAATTATCTCCTCTTTTTCCCACCCTTCCCAGATTTGGTGGAAGGTCCAGCAGTTGACGATGTTGATGCAGTCTCCTGCTTCTTAGTCCTTCCATGATGCCTAGGTACCATCTCTGCAACCCGTAACATTAGTTGCTTTCCTGCAAAAAAAAGAAAGCATGAGATATTTCAGATTCATTATATCTATGCAATTACAAGAGGATAACTTTCTTCACATTCTGACACCTGATATTTACAAGGGGTAAAAAAAGTAATTGCTTTTACGTTGTCAAGGACATTGAGGCTATATTTGGGTCAGCCTATTTTAAAGTTGATAATTTTTGTCAGTTTCTTGAGAAAACATTGGAAAAATAAGTGATTACTTTATAACAATCATTTTCAAACATGTACTAAAAGGTCTAAAATGTAGCCACCACTATTCATTAACCTCATTCAACAACTCTTTTGCATTATCTAAAAATATTCATAATAACATTTGAAATATGTTCAAGTACGACAATGAACAAATTTTATATGCTTTACCACCTTATCTAATTAGGGTTTGGAGTCAAATATGAGTATAAACAGAGGTTAGTAATATGAACTACAAAGGAATCTTCCTTTTAATGAATCTATCAACAATCTATTTAAATTCACTTAAACAAGACAAACTCTGGCCTACTTAATATCAGACTTATCTCTCTGTTTGTAAGTAAATTTCCATGAATTTCATTTTGACAAAACCAAATAAAAGATGATCAAAGTTTCTCCTTTTGGGGAGGTATGAATGGTCCAAGTGATCGTGTAATGGATATATTAGAATACAATACATCTGGACCTGGACCTGGACGTGGATCTGGATCTGGATCTACAGCTTACAAAAAGACTTCAAAATAGATGGATTGATTTGCTAACAGTTAAGGAAAGGATTAAACACAATTTTAACTTTAAAGTTTTGAAAAACTCGAGTTGCTTACACTTCTGTCTGAAGGATTAAAAAGAGAGCCAAGCTAGGTGATCATGTAATGGATATATTATAATTCTGTCTACAAGTGAAGAGGCAGGACTAAAGCAAATTTATGCACAACATATAAAAATTGTCAACTATAAGTATAACCAGTATACTCTTATAAACTTAATAAATGGAAAACTAGAGGTATCCAATATCCAACTTGTTAAAAAGAGAGAGAGAGAGAGAGAGAGAGAGAGAGATTGCAAAATCATACGTGATCGTATTCCCACCGAGCAGTCAGTGGGAGAGAAACAAGAATACTCTCTATTCTTCCTCCAGTTTTTAGTCCAAATGTTGTACCCCTATCATAAACCTGCGGCCACAAAATGTTTGATAATACAAACTTGAACCTGATCTGGAAAACGTGTAGAGCAATACATTTCAGTCTAGAATTGGGTTAAAAAGTGTACCAAATTGAATTCAACATATCGTCCCCTTCGCAATTGTTGCCATGCTTTCTGATGATCAGTGAAGGGCAAATCCTTCCTTTTCTCTATGATAGGTAAATAAGCGGGAATAACAGAATTGGCACACTCTGCAAACAACCATAGTTTACCAGCATGAGAGACAGATAATTGGATGTCTTTTCAGTGAGAACCATCAAATTTATAAATGCAAGCAATTACCGGTAGCAAAGGAAAGGAGCATCTCCTGATCATAGTCATTCAGATCATCAAAAAATATTCCTCCAAGCCCTCTCCTTTCACCTCGATGCTGAGTGTAGAAATAAGGAAAATAATGATAAACAACCATCAACAGCATATGCCTATGCACTCAATTTAAAAAAAAAAATTATAATGCATACACTCTAACCCCACAAAAATAACAGATGACATCCATGGCCCATCAAATTACACGTTACATTGAGTCAACGAGTACACTCAATTGGGAGCACTGTGTTTGACAACTGACAAACGAGATTGAAAACAGCGGAATAATTCTAAACCTTCCAACATTTTCCTAGTAATCCTCCTAATTATAAGATGAAGAAAATATCAAATGGATTTTATGCGTTCAAGACACTAGGTTAGACCTATGCATTTACTTTTTATTTAATATTTATTCTACAAGGTTTTAGGAGGAATAATAAGAGGATATAACATTGCTCAAAAATGAGTATAAATAGATATAATAAGGAGTCTGAGACACCACCCATTTATTCATAGTAATGCTCAGACAAGACTTGATAATTGCAGTTGCAAGTTTGCCATGAGATATATGCTTCTGACATACCCCAAGTCTCCTAAATACTAAATAAAATATCAGCCGCATATGCTTCATGGATAACATCTCCACCTACTATCGCCAAACCACTTCACTTCTGTTCTTGCAGCCCCTGCATCACACATCTTCTTCCCATTCCCATATTTTCATAAACACCGACAGTCATTGTTTTTAACCATTTACCACCATTCATGTCTTGTTTATTAGTTGCTACAGCCTCCAATTCATCAAAATCAACTATAACAGAGAGCCAAAGAATATATGCATAATCTTCTATTAAAGGTTCACAAACTGAACACAGAATGCTTAATACTCACTCAACACTGTTAACTTTTAGTTTTATCAAACAGGCCCCAAGACAGCTGCAAATTAATGTACTTAAAAGCTTCATTGCGTGATTAGGGATGAAGAATTATACCTTGATATAGAAGTAGTCATCACACCATTTCTTGAATCGGGGGTAAAATGTAGGATCAAACTTGTCACAGGCACGCTTTTGAATCTACATAAGAAGCATGAAGTATAGAAGTACAGTAAGTAAAAAAAACTTCCTCAACAATAAAACATCATATTATTATTCTAAAGATAAAATTTAAACTGAACTGTTTAGCAAAACCCACATACAAGTACAAAGATACATTAAAAGCCCTCACAAGAAAGGACTAAGACATCATGGTATTTTTTATCAAAGGAAATTGATTTTTTCATCTTTTACCAAGAAAAAAGCCAATGCTGATTCTAAATCATAAAAAATATCAGAAACCAAAATTTTCGCTTTGCACGTACTGAATGGAAGTGCTTAACATCCTCCTCAAAAATGTAAGCTGGCGTCAAGTCAGTTCCCCCGCCAAACCACCATTGTCTAGGTGCTCCAGGGGTATCTGCAGATAGCAAAAGTATGACTATCACTATCAGCACACTCGGAAAATTATTTGACAACTTTACACTCTCATGTTCACACCCCTTTGTTTCAATATTTATTAGAAGATAATAGCTTTCCTAAGATTTCAAGACTAACATAAATAGTTGTGGTTTATAATAAGCAACTGATAACAAATAAAATTAAATAGAACACCTACAAAACTTGAAGCTGAGGTAACCGACTTTGGGGTATGCTGATCAAGTATTAGGTGTTTGTTTTGATAAACTTTTCTATAAGCTAATTTGTTAAACTCTCGCATATAAGTTTTTCCAAAAACAAATTTTAACTTATTAATAAACTAACTTTAGCTAATAGAGAAGCCTATTTCGTTTTTCTTCCTATTTCTTTATTTATGGAGAAGTTGATCCAAACATATATAGATAAAATTAATTGCTATAGACAATTTAAAGATTAAACAGTTCCAAGAACACACACAAAAAAAAGAAAAGAAAAAAAAAGGGCCAAACTACAGCTAAGAAAAAAGTCAAAAAGACAAGGATGAAAGAACCGGTATATAGAGAGAAGTCGTTAATCACATTACATGTGCAGTAACTAAAAAGTGTTGAAAGCAATATGACAAAAAATACTGCTAAAACGATATAAAGAGCAGCCTGGAAATAAACAGAGGGGAACGTAACTTACCTTTAGGAGCATCAGTTTCAAAATAGCGATAATTGAAATGCAGTGTAGGGGCAAACGGGTTCTTGGGGTGTAAAACCTGAACAGAAAGACAGTAAGGGAAGGTCAATTACTCGGAGAAAAAAAGAAAAAAGTGAGTGAGTGAGGGATGAGAATAGGATACTGACGGAGCTGATTCCAGCAGCGAAGAACGGCACAGGACCAGGTTTTTGATCAGTAGGAGCACCCTTGGCAGCACGATAAGCCTCAGGTGGCATGACACCGTAAACGACGGAGACATTAACCCCAGCCTTCTCCCAAACGGCGCCGTCCTGAAGAACCCTGCTAATCCCACCGCCCCCACCGGGCCTGGACCAAACGTCCTCCTTGAACTTGGCCCCACCATCAGCGGCCTCAAGGGCACTGCACACGCTGTCTTGGGCCTCCCTTATCATCTTCTCGAACCGGGCCCTCACCGAATTGGAAGAATGGGCCTCGTCCACTCCCCTCAGAAACGTTTCCGGACGCTCCGCCTCCGGGGTCTCTTTCTCTATCACCGTGCCTCTCACTTCTCCTCTCCTCGTGCTTCTGCTCTCCGTTCCAGGCTTCCAGCTCCGTTTAGGCAGCGATAACGCCGTTGGAGTGATGGACGCAGTGGAGGCGGACCTGGAGCCAAAGGGGAACGCGCACGACGGAGCTGAGACAATGCTTGCACAAGGCATTATGCCTCCGATTCGCTTTCACTCCAATTTCAATCACAGATAATTAAACTAACAAAGGGTGATGATAAGATCTCCTCCTTCTTTTCTTTCTCCCAACGCTTTTAAATTAGTTAAAAAGAGAGAGAGAGAGAGAGAGAGAGAGAGAGATTGCAAAATCATACGTGATCGTATTCCCACCGAGCAGTCAGTGGGAGAGAAACAAGAATACTCTCTATTCTTCCTCCAGTTTTTAGTCCAAATGTTGTACCCCTATCATAAACCTGCGGCCACAAAATGTTTGATAATACAAACTTGAACCTGATCTGGAAAACGTGTAGAGCAATACATTTCAGTCTAGAATTGGGTTAAAAAGTGTACCAAATTGAATTCAACATATCGTCCCCTTCGCAATTGTTGCCATGCTTTCTGATGATCAGTGAAGGGCAAATCCTTCCTTTTCTCTATGATAGGTAAATAAGCGGGAATAACAGAATTGGCACACTCTGCAAACAACCATAGTTTACCAGCATGAGAGACAGATAATTGGATGTCTTTTCAGTGAGAACCATCAAATTTATAAATGCAAGCAATTACCGGTAGCAAAGGAAAGGAGCATCTCCTGATCATAGTCATTCAGATCATCAAAAAATATTCCTCCAAGCCCTCTCCTTTCACCTCGATGCTGAGTGTAGAAATAAGGAAAATAATGATAAACAACCATCAACAGCATATGCCTATGCACTCAATTTAAAAAAAAAAATTATAATGCATACACTCTAACCCCACAAAAATAACAGATGACATCCATGGCCCATCAAATTACACGTTACATTGAGTCAACGAGTACACTCAATTGGGAGCACTGTGTTTGACAACTGACAAACGAGATTGAAAACAGCGGAATAATTCTAAACCTTCCAACATTTTCCTAGTAATCCTCCTAATTATAAGATGAAGAAAATATCAAATGGATTTTATGCGTTCAAGACACTAGGTTAGACCTATGCATTTACTTTTTATTTAATATTTATTCTACAAGGTTTTAGGAGGAATAATAAGAGGATATAACATTGCTCAAAAATGAGTATAAATAGATATAATAAGGAGTCTGAGACACCACCCATTTATTCATAGTAATGCTCAGACAAGACTTGATAATTGCAGTTGCAAGTTTGCCATGAGATATATGCTTCTGACATACCCCAAGTCTCCTAAATACTAAATAAAATATCAGCCGCATATGCTTCATGGATAACATCTCCACCTACTATCGCCAAACCACTTCACTTCTGTTCTTGCAGCCCCTGCATCACACATCTTCTTCCCATTCCCATATTTTCATAAACACCGACAGTCATTGTTTTTAACCATTTACCACCATTCATGTATAATAATCGAAGATTAAAATAACAACAATGGAACGAACCTCAATTGCAAAAGGAAGTTTAAGATAGCTGCAGCAATCACCAATTTCAGCGCAAGTAGGGTTTTCGCATGCTTTCGCGAGACCAATGCGTCTTCCTTCGGCCATCGTTTTCTTGGAATTTATGTAAACAGGATACATCACGATCCATTTCTTTATGTTCGGCAATTCGGCACCGTCCATGTTCCTCACTCGCACACTTAAGCGAATCGGAAAATCGAAAACTGAATCTTCACTCTCCGATGATACACACCTAAACACAGAGGAAGAAGGGAAAACAAAAGAGAGTCTTCAATACTGGTTGGTCCAATCGCACTTCCTCTTTTTGGGCCAAGGCCCAAAAGATTGCGCATAATAAAAAGTGGGCTTGACTTCACTTTCGCTTTCAGCTGTTACAATTAAACACACAGCATTGCCACAATTCCAATACAAGATATTTTCAGAATAAGAAAAAAAAAACCATTGAAGAGAGTATGGACGAAGAAAAAGAAAAGAGGCACCTTAATTACTGCCTGACAGTTTTACAATTTTTTGAGGTTTGAAGAAAGTCGATAGTGATTAGTGTTTAATGGAGTGGGCTCGAGAATACCTCAACACAGCGTGTTTGTGGTTTGACTTTTCAGTCAGGTTTCGAGAGGGGGAAATAAATGCCAAAAAAATATTAACAATTTACATTTTTTAAACTATTATATATATTTTTTAATATAATCCATTTATTTCTTTATACTAATTTCTATTTATTCAAATAAATGAGATTTTTTTTTTCATTCTTTCCTTTTTTTCTACTTTTATATCCAAGTAACGTAATTTTTCCATTCAATTTTTATTTTTATTTTTTTATATTTGATTGTTTGACACTTTCTTTATTTATTTCACTCCCCGTACAAATAAAATAATAATAAAAAAAAGATTGCAAACGGCAGAATACAATTTAAATGGAGCAAATGAACCTCTACTACTCCCTGAGGACTGAGGAGGTAAAAGAAAGTGAAAGTTGTTGCATGCATGCAGATAGAATGGAGCTCAGGAATTTTGCTACTTCAATCATCTATATAAATTTAGTAATAGCTTTATACTATGCTTATATTAACCAAGTACCAAGACACATTCAAGATTCACTGATAACATTTTAATGTTTAAAAGATTAATTCAATATTTTTTAAGAAGAATACCGTGACATAATGAGGTTGACACGAATTAGAAGAACAAATTGAAGGTTTATGCTTTTGGTTCTAACACGTTTAGTAACATGAAGGTTTGACATTAGTGGCTTAGGCAGGAACGGACAATTAATGATTTAATGACCAAACGGTGGCAGAGTAAGAGGTGGTAGAGTCTTACACGCACCAAACCATACGTTTTGTCGTTAACACTGAAACTGACAGTTACTTGCGCTGTTCCATTTAAAACTTAGAAGCAACAACATCCATCCTTGTACCCCTTTTTATGCATTGTACCTCTTTTTGTGCATATTTTGTTTAGGGTGATCTTGGAAAGAAAGAAAGTGTGAGAGAGAATTAAGTTTTCTGTTGTATGCCTTTGCCCAAGTATATATAATACCAACACCGTTTCCTTGTGGTAACTGCTAAGGTTCGCTGAATCTGTTTTCACTGAAATGAAGAGGCAATAGGTACAATAATTTTAATTCCAGTTTGTTTCAAATTCCTCAACTAATTTGTTCAGGTTTAAATGAATATTTGTTAATGTAACAGTAATACTCTATTGAGTTGTCTCTAGTGTTTAATATGTTTATTAACTGATTCTGGCAAATGCTATTCATTTATAAAATAAATAAAAAAATTGAATACTGACCAAACTCTAAGCTTGATTGGCTGTATGGTATATTTGATTTTGCTTTATAGTATCTGATATATGAGACAAATTATCTGAGATAAAGTCCATCACTTTTTTGTTTGATTGGTTATAATAGTTGGCCATGGCCATGTCAGTTCGTTTCACCAAGTTCAACTGTATTATATGATGAGGCCACCACCTTTCAGGTTCTATTGAACCTTCATGAAAGTAAGGTGTCACATTAAAATGGTTCTAACACTTCTGGGATTTTGATCCATCCATAGTTATTTATGGTCCTGGTAAATCTCTACATGACATGTAGTTGAATTTTCAATTTACTAGAAAAATTAATAAAAACTTGACTATGTGTGACATGCAAATAAGCATTTGTCAATGAAGTCTCTTGTTCCGGTGGTTATAAAGCTTATCTTTGGGATATAGGGGGTTAATCTAGTACTCTCAATATCGATTGCATTAAAATAATGTTTGGCAAGTGTAAGTCAAGTTTCATAAGAGCATATCATCTTAGTTATTAGTATTAGAACAATTCCACTATGTTCATGGATTAAAGAAAAATTAACATTTGTCATTTCTTTTTCTTACTAATTATTTTTAAGTCTCACGAAGGTATCTTCAATTCATCTTAGACGACAGAAACAATGGCTATGCACGGTTGTTATTGTCATTACATGAAGTTCTCAACTCAAAGAACAGCACCAGGCAATGTCAGTTTTTCGGGCTCAATTTCGGTTAATAAGTTGTCAAAGAAAGAAAGGACAACATGTGATCCACCAGGGAACACTCAAATTCGCAGGTTCCTCGTGGAAATGCGACAGAGAGAATTGCCTGCCTCAAAGTATGGTACAAATGGTAGAGCTATTAAAATGGTACCGGCGAATGAGCTAGTGAAAAGAAAGATAGTGTCAACAAATAAGGTGAAAGTGAATGGTTCAACTCCAAAGCCAGCTGTTAATGGAGCAAGTCTAGTAAGAAAAAATCCTATTTCAACTTTGACCAAGACAGTAAAGTCTAGAAGCTCTAAACAACTTCCATCATTGGAAGAGATAAATTTTCTGCCATCAGATGAAGGTTTCAGTTGGGCCAATGAAAATTACAGTTCCTGGCAGAGGTCTATTGATGTTTGGTCTTTTGTTCTTTCTTTGCGTGTTCGGGTTTTGTTTGACAATGCAAAATGGGCATATTTGGGAGGCTTCACAGAAGCAAAACAGGTATGTTCTGAAAGTGAAAGTTCTTTTGTTTCCAAATTACTATCTTCCATATGGTGATTTGTAGTCATTACTGACCTGAAATGTTTTTAACATTTTATTTAGAAAAGCAGGAGGAGGAAAACTGCATCATGGTTAAGGGAGAGTGTATTGCAGCTTGGTCCAACTTTCATCAAAATAGGCCAGTTAACATCAACAAGGTCTGATCTATTTCCACGTGAATTTGTGGATGAGCTCGCAAAATTGCAGGTATTTCCATATATATATATATATATATATATATATATATATATATTT